CGCTAACAAGGACTGACCCGAACTTCATATAGCATATGCCAGTTTGACCATTGCATCTGTCGAGGTACACCATGTACTCCATATCACGGCAGCAGAACGATTTTGACTTTTGCCAATACTGCAAACCCCTGTGCATCTATAACCCGTTTCTGCTACTGTTTTCTGCTAAGGTCACTGATGATGAATCCTCGACGAATGTCGAAACGTCAGGCGAATAAAGGCAGTGTCCCAGTGATCGAGTCGTGTTCTCAGTGGTGACGTTTGTCCGACTTCACTTTAAATGATGGTAGACTTGAACTGCGTCTATCGCACTCCCTTCCCACATCCACTTGGCGTCGGTCTCAAGACAGAGTCAAGACGACCGGAGACGAGGTCAGGAGGACGCGACTTGAGCCTACACCTATGTTGGCCACGACACTCCCACATGTGGCAATTCTCATTGGAGCGCATTTCGCAAAACGGTTTCCGGGATATGATCTAGCCCCCTGTTGGACCAGCGTAGCTATGATGCTCTAGTTTAGGGGCAGTATTGGAGTAATAAGAAAGGCATTTTGGACCAGTTAAATTAGCTGGCGAAATTATTAACAGTTCGGGTATTTTACACCAGTCTTCCCTCCTAGAGTATCTTATTTACAGCAGATTATTGCCTCATATCAAATAGGTCGCTTAGCTTTGAAAAAGAGTGTGTCCACATCCTGAATGTCTTCAACTAAAAGCGCATACTCACTACTTTCTCATGACACTCAAGCTTATGCACTACGAAAGCGTCCTACTTGTAAACTAGGCGAAGAGCTCCTGTGCGTGCATAATCGTGTGGGTTTGCCCAACGGGCAGTAATTTATTACGAATTGAGGCAAAGGTTCGCATCCCAAGTACGTGTACAGATTGAGAAGAAAAAAATATGGGAGCATCTCCTAGCATGGCTGAGCAAAGGTGAAGTCAGGAGTATCAACGGCGCCATTCTTGCCCCCATGGTTGACTCCGGACATCGTGTGGACCCCAACGAAGCCTTCAAGGTAATTTACAACGTCCTTCCAAACTACCCAAAGTGTTTGGGTCAGCGGTTGCTAGCAACAGCAGAAACAAAGGCCATCCGGTTGGGGAAACCAGCTTTGTGCGCGCAGAAGAACCTCCTGAAAGCTCCGAGCCCAGCATGGCCAACGGCCACATAACTACCCACATTTTCCATGCTCTCTCTCCCTCCACCCCCTTATTACCGCGTAACTGGCGGCTTATAACAAACCCCAGCCCCTCCTTTATGGCCATGGCTTACTCGCCTAAAACTATGACTGTAATTACCTGCAATTTACCATGTACCTTTTACCCCTTCCCATATAAATGTAA